CTTATCTTATTGGTGGCCGGCATGGCCAGGTGGTTAGGGCGCTTCGAATCCCCATCCCACTATTCGTTGGTAAAAGAGTAGCCCAAGAGTTGGTGGTGGGTGGTGATGATTAGTTGCCTTTCCTCTAGTCTTTGACTACTAAATTAGGGATAGTTGGTGCAGATAGCCGTCGTGTAGGTTTGTGCGAAATTCAAACCAAACCTTATCTTATTTCCGTTACTACAGTGGACTTTACAAATTTTCGTTAACCATCTAACAACTTCGTTGACGTTTAAGATGTAAAAACTAAAACTTTATTTTGATGTTATATTCAGTACGAATAATACGAACTTAGCAGTAATAAGCATGGTCTGGACAGGCCATACCCCTTTGACCAGCGGTCTCTGGAGATCAATCTAATCATGTTGGTGAATGTCTGACATGTTTTCATGTGAATTTATATGAACGCTCTCTATAAATTGATTGGATATAAAAGGATAGACATGCCGTTCCTCATAGACCATACCATTTGTCGTATGATCACAGAACATACAAGTAGATCACCGTATTGAAAACGTCCACAACGGTATCCATGCTACTTATTGTACCAATGAGAGAGCGATGTAACAGAATAGTATTTAACGCATTCTTAGTTCCTTATATTGCACAAGAGCCAGATGGTGTTAACTCTGCTTCCATAGAAATCATAAAAAAAATCAACACATTACATTTTCGTTCAGCACTAAAGCAACTGAAGATTATGATATTCTATAACATATAAATGAATGATATCATATGATATCATATCATATTGATAACGTTGCCGTTACTACGGTGAATATCATCATATTTATAACGTTGCCGTTACTACGGTGAATATCATCATATTTATAACGTTGCCGTTACTACGGTGAATATCATCATATTGATAACGTTGCCGTTACTACGGTGAATATCATCATATTGATAACGTTGCCGTTACTACGGTGAATATCATCATATTGATAACGTTGCCGCTACTACGGTGAATATCATCATATTGATAACGTTGCCGTTACTACGGTGAATATCTAGTTTCTGTAAATATTATAACGTTTACAACTTCTCGTTTACTGTTACAGTCAGTGTTCTCTGTTGTTATATATAAGACGAAATGTATTGGTTCTTGTTTTCTTTATGTTCAAACATAAAACAGGTTGATTCTCAAGTTGCAGTCATTGACTGCCATATGACTGATGACCAAAGGTCAGGAGGAGAGTTTAACCGAGTAGAAGGTATTCAAGAAATGTACGCTAACTGAAATGTAATAGACTTGTGTGAAAATTAATCTAATCTTGGAAGTTCAATACTTTTTTAATTCATACATGTTTCAGTTTGTGTTATTCCTAAACATCAAAGGTTAACGAGTTGTCACTTTGTCAGCGGAATTAGCCCCTCAGATGAATTTGATGAACACAACCCAAATTTTAAGATAAATAAGACAGTACTGACATTTCTTTACGTATCTAAACAAGTAAACACTGTAGAAGTTTGACTATGTATAGATTTTGGTAAGTTGTATTTGTAAATAATAGTAATTTTATACTACAGATATGTGAGTTGTAGATCGAAAACAAAAAGTAGTAACATAAAATAGGAAATAACGTTTTAATGTACCCTCAAACCTTGGGTCATTTATGTACATCTAGATTTCTGTATCGTTATGTAAAGTGGAAGAACAGATAAATTCAGTTACATACAAAACCCGTTCTTCATTAATTAAATTAAACTTACATATAACTTATTTTGTATGTAAAGTATATTTTATAATGATAAACAGTAAATTAGAGGTATATATAAAATGTGAAAGAATCGCCTTTTCTTGTAGACCATATCTTTTATCATAAGAAGCAATATAATTAACATATTTTGTTAAGAACTTTTACAGATTTTGTTCTTATTTTTGGATAAACTTATCTTTTTCTAACTTGAAGTTTTGTTAATAAACGCTACAAAAGATCTAATGTCCAGCATAACTGGGGGACAGTCAAATTAGTTACGGATTTCAAGTGTATGACATGTTTTGTAAAATTTCAAAATGAAGAAACTTTCTATGATCATATTGGCTCGAATTACTTTGTGGAGTGTCCCTTATGTCCCAATCACATGCTAGAAGAAGTACACACCGCCGATATTATTACACTTATGAATATATATGTAATTGAATAGAGTTGTTTAAACATTTGTTTAACAACAAGTAAAAGCTTGAAGTGGTCTATCATTTTATTAGGGGTGTGTGTCTGTGAGCCAGACTAGTTTCAGAGAACTCCACTTCTTATCAGTGACTCTGGACACTACCACCAATGAAATATCAGACCAAACCAAGCCTTTATAGTAGTGAGGTATCAAAAATTGAAATGGTGTATTTAAGTGTTTGACACTCACAAAAAAGAACCTATCATTCTATAGGTATTTGAAGAACTTGTAGCAACTCTATTCAATTATGTATTACAGCTCCACAGTGTCGACTGACAATACGAAGAATTAAATTGTGGCGGAATGCTCACAGACACACCCCCAATGAAAGGATAGACCATTCCAATTCAACTGGAAAGTAAAAAAATTCACACATAACTTTTTAATTTTTATATTCACCAGGGTTCTAGTTAACCCAAACTCTTGGTCTCATATGCACGTGAATTTGTTGAGACATGCGAGATTTTACCCCAAGGATACCAAATACGCACCACTAAATGCCCCATAAGCAAGACAAGCACAAGTACTTTGCTTCAAACTCTGTACCGTAAAGAACTAAACAGCATACAGTTTGCATACAGCTGTCCACCATCAACTTCTAACAGATTTCATCAATGACAATAAATTGAATGAAAATAAAGCCATGTGAAAGTACCACATTATTAACCCATTCACCTTGGGTAGATCAAAGTGCACATGTTACAACTTTTCACAGTTACATTAAAAATCAAATTGAACTACTTTATTATCATTGTATATGAATAAACTTGGCATCATAACGTAGATAATAAATCTAAATTTAGTATTATTTAAGTTTTAATTTTATAAAGAAATATTAAAAAAAAAAACTCTCAATCTCACCTAGTATGAGAACTGTGATGTTTATTATTTATGTCTTCCATCTTCTCTAATGTTTTTACTACCCCTCCAAGAAGTATGAAATTTAATGTAAATTACTCATTATAATATTGTCATCACCCAGGCAAAGCATAATTTAGATAGCCTTCAATCTTTAGTTACAGAGCAATAAAATAGAAAATGTGACTCCTCTTGCCACACCCACCTGTCACATCCTCTCTTTCAGAACTTGCTAATATTTATATTTATAACCAACAGAAAGTCAAATTTTTTACTCTATCAAATAAAGTATTATATTACATTGTTTTTTGTAAAGATAATTATCTGTTTTCTTTCCAGTTCAAACTTTACTCACACAGAAACACATTAAAGAGCTTAGCTGAATTTTTTAACAGCATTTGTCACAAAGTTAGAAAACCACAAAAAACTGCGATAGTTATGGAACATTGTTTATTTTTTTGCATGTTATTATTCTGTGTTCTTTGTTGCATAATTTAATTAAATAAACTCTACTTTTTTATCGTAATGGTACTACTGCATTAAATAACAAATTTGATTGACAGTCAACAGCAAAATAAAAAAAGAAGACATGGGTAAGTACTTTATTTCTTATTTTTCATCTGTATTCTTTATTTCTTATTATAAAAGTAATTAAATGTAAAAATTGAAAACTTTTTAGGTCAGATAAAGCAAAATTAATAATAATATGAATAATAATATTCTTTTTTATGAGGTATGCTCGCAAGCAGTCCTTGCATCATGTAATTCAATACCATAATGTGAGCTGCACATTCCCAATGTTATTTGCAATTTAGATGGCATGAATATTAGTTAGACACAGTTCAAAGGGCAATATAACTAAAACTATAAGTATAAATAGATATGTACTGTTACAAGCTTTAAGCTACTTAGGATAAACAATTGTGTTTTTTGTTAATTTACAGCCATTCCAGAATGAAAATAGAGGAAATTTATAATTATTTCCTAACTTATGGTAGTTACAAGGTTAGTCAAATCAACTGACCTCATATACAGTTAAATATTATCCCCCAAAAGCATTATAAAATCATGTTCGTTATATGACAGTGTTTTATTATTCCTAGAGTGATGCGATGCATGTATTTTAGAGACAAATGACATCAATAAGTAGGTTTTATTTTAAAATCTTCAAGGTGTTTCTTTATTTTCTGCTTGAAAATAATTTGTAAGATATCAAAGTTTAGTAGTTGGTATACAAGTAGGTTCTTACAATAACTTGTTTATAAACAACATGTTAAGTGGACCAAAACAAATAAAGGAAAACAAGAAGTCACTTTTAAGTAAAGATACCTTAAAAACAGAAGATATTTTCATGTTTACTGGAAAAGCTGTTAATTTTATCTTTTTGCATATTGTCCTAATTTAGCACTTGCTGAGGTAAGTAACATAAAGTGTAAATTATAAACAAGTTTTTTCATTGAGTGCCAAAGTGCCCTTAACTTTTTTAAAACTAATAATAAATCATAAAGGGAAACAACATGCAGTGTAAATTGTAAATAAAGTTTTCATTGAACATTAACGTGCTCTTTTTCACTTGCAGAAGTTAAACACGTAGTGTACATTGTAAATACAGTTTTTCATTGACACTGAAGTACTTTTTTTCCTGTTTTTTTTTTAGTTTATTAATTCTACCTACGAAACCGATGGGACTCTTGAATAAAAACTGAAAGACCCTTCACTGTGGAACCCTAGTAAGTACCCTGTTCACCCAATTGTAATAAATATCTTCATTTGTCATTTTAGTTATGTAATGGCAAAATAAAAAAAAATACCATTTTTAAAATACAAAGTTCTGAAAAGTCACAGTGACAGTATATCTAATAATTATGTTACTTCTAATATTATATCACATTACATCATATCATGCAATATTTTTAATTCTTCCTTTTTCACTTTATAAAATGATTAAATATAACACTTACTTTTACAACTTCAGGGCCTGTGATAAACAAGTATGAAGTGTCCTGAAAATAAAAATTAGTTATGAATCTACTTTTATTTGTATCATAAAAGCATTGTAAATGTATTGTTATTAAATTAGCAAAAGGTTAATTCAAATGTGCTAAGAATTACTGAAAGTATTAAAAATATGAACGAATGACAAATAACATGATGTTAACATAAAACATTTTCAACGAAAGTGAAATAGATTTTCTTGCTTATGATAAAAGTCAACAATTGTTCAAGAGTAAAATTCCTGCACATAAAAGTATGATAAGTTAATACTAATGTACTTATTTTGTTGGAAGGATATGTGGGTTTATTACATCTTTAAAAACTTGTAAGAACATGCTTAAACATACAATTTTATATATATATCCAAGTGAGAGAGGTGATTATTAACAAAAACTCTTGGCACCAACAAAGCTTTTATGCAACACAAACATACTTGCCTTCACCATAAATAAGAAGTCTGTTAGAACTGGTGAGTAAACTGCACCACCAGCACAAGGTCCCATGATTAATGAAATTTGAGGAATGACTCCTGAAGCCATGACATTTCTCTGGAAAATATCAGCATATCCTGCCAAAGATTCTACACCTTCCTGGATTCTTGCTCCACCAGAATCATTCAGACCTATGACTGGAGCACCAACAAGCATGGCCTGATCCATAACCTTAAGATTGTATCAGGAATTAGCTTTTTAAAAAAAAACCTTTTATTTCAGTTAATAATCTTTTATTCACTAGAACTGCCAATATAATTTACCAAAGTGCACCGAAGCAAGAGCATAAAAAAAACTCAGGGTTATGCTAAATTACTTACTTTAAAAACTATTTTATTCATTAAAATCTCATAATAATTGTCTCTTAAATTACTAAACTACTCTATCTTACAAAATAAAAAAATGTTTTGATTTAGTTTGTAAATTATCTTATTACTATGGTCAACAGGTGTTTATGGAGGTGTTGCTAGGCACTGGAACATGGGCCATGCCCCAAATCTCCAATTGGTGTCTTGAAAAATCAAAACAGAAAACTATGATCAATATCATACTGAAACATCAAACATTCCCACACCCATGGGCCCAAGCCCCGAATCTCTTAAGCACCTAGTGATGCCTCTGTGTGTTTACTTACAAAAATTGTTATAATTGCTTCCTTTATCTAAGATTTTCTGCAAGGAAATTCCCTTTGTAAATAAGATTTACTCAGCAAGTAACTGTAATATATCACATTTTTGTCTAATTACAGTTAAAAAAAAACATATGACAAAATGAGATCCTGTAATAAGAATATAACTTGTGATATGTATCAGAAGAAATAGCCATACCAGTATTTTCTGAAAACAGGAATCATCTTAAAAGATCTTGTAGTTTTCTCTATCTTACAATTGCAGTTTTTAGCATATTTTCTGAACACTAATGTTTAGATTAACTGGCATAACTTTCCTTGTACATCTAACACGTATAGACTTAATCAAATAAATGTACTTCAAACATACAGCACTAAATTAACCTTATTTTAGGCTTAGCTGTTAAGTTTGTTTTCTTTCTCTTTATGCTTTTATGTATATTTTGAAGAACAGAATGAACTGGTTCTCACAAAGCTGTGGCAAAAATTCTTAAAGTTTGAAAAGTGAAACAAACCATTAAATAAAAAAAGCACAAAAAAATGTGTTGATACATGACAAATTAACAAGACATTATGTTTTGTAGCCAGTAATAAATAAAGTAACATTTACATGTTGAACAGAGCTACAGGAAATGTAAATGTTATTTGAATGGATTTATAAGTTATGTTAGGTGAAGCTGGCAGATAAGAGCTTCTTGAAACAAAATCATTATGATGATAGTATTTCTCATGTAATAACTGTTCTAAAGATAAATTGTATAATGCAAAAAAACAAAGAAATAGAAAAGTACTAGAAGAAGATACCCTTAGTTAGTAAGAAAAATCATCCTCAAATAGGGGAGAAACTGGAGGCTGGAACATCCAGGTAGTTGCTATAATGCAAGGAAACAAGCAAAGAGCCAAGCTAATATAGTTTTCTCAGTAAGTACCAGTTAACTCATTAAGAGTTCTCCAGTAGGTTAGTGGTAAATGTACAGACTTTAAATGGTAAAATTTAGGGTTTAAATTCTTGCAGTGGATAGAGCACAGATAGCCTATTGTGTGGCTTTGTGATAAAACAAATTCATTAACCAGTATAATGGGGCTGATATGAAGAAGACAAAAGGTCAAAGAAGATCACCTGAATGCCCGAGTTGTACAAATGTAAAGAAAAATAAATATAAAGGACACCAGAAATGGAAATACTTATCAAATTAGAAAGGTAATTAATTTTATGATCAAAACCTTTAGAATCTAAAGAAATAAATATTCCTTTGTCTTCCAGAAAGAATAATTAGCAGGGACAGCAGGCAAACTCTGTTTGGCAATTATACTGCTCAAATCAAAAAGATGAATATCTGCAATGGACCATAAAGCACTATACATCTCACCCTCCAGTCCAGTTTTGTCTGTGCACCCACTGAAAAGGTTGCAAAGAGTCAAGAAAATGAAAGTCAGAATTCCCCCATGACAATATTTAAACAAAGTGTAATATCACTGCAATAAAATTAGATGGTTTTAGTTTCAGAAAAAGAAAATACAGAAAACTAGCTGTGCAAAAAACAGCCAATGAGAAGCATTTAGTTTATGTAAGTGAATTATGTGATTAAAACAAAAATGGTAGAGTACAAAGTATAATGGTATTGTTGAGGTAAAAAATACATTAGTGACTGTGTGTACTAACTAAGCATAAACGTGTATTGTGCACACCGTACACGCTACTTGGTTTATTGGTGGAGAAAAGCCTCATGAAATTTTATGAGACATCATCAAAAGGTAAAAGTTTATTTACTTTAATTTGATCATTTAGTCATCATACTTGATGGATAAAACAATCTAGAGCCCTTTGTTAGTGCTGTTATGTTTTGTACAAATGGAAAAACAGTTAAGAACAAATACCATTTCAGTGTTAGTTAAAAAATATTTTCATGAAATATAAGAAAGCAAAAGATACAAAAATCAAATCTAATTCTCAGGAATGAAAGATAAAATGTATATGTAAAGGGAATATTTATATACAAGTTTCAAAACAAAATACTCGCATGTTCAGAATTATAAAGGAAACGCTTGTACATGGAATGTTTGATCTCAAAAAATGTACAAATCATGTTAGTGTTTAAGTTTTAGACCAAAACAAATTAATCATTCTAAATACAATATACAAGTTAAGAGAGAAATTGTTTTTATCCTTATTTTATTATCCTCATATGTTTTAATATTCAAAGTAAAGCTGTTAACAAAGAACAAGTCAGAATAGGGATGAAAAACAAAGAACAAAACAATGTATTATGGAGATTGCTTTATATCAACACCTATATGACCTTTTTATAATATCAAATGCAATAAATGTTAATATATTAGAAATAAAATAAAATTTATAAACTCACTTTGCAGACTTTCTTGGCATGGATACTTGACAGACTACCTCCAAAGACTGTAAAATCCTATGAAAAGCAGAAATTGTAGAAAATCACATTCATACACAATGCTAGATATAGACAATACATTTACTTACTATTTTCTACATTTCCTACACAAACATTTTAGACCAAAAATTCTGAAACTTTACCATGTAAATAAAGTTTTATGTAAGGATTATTAAGACCTGCCACATGATTCAGTTAAGCATATTTTAGTATACAGCCTATGATGGTTAACAGGTTTGGGGGGGGGCGATTATGAAAAACAGTGGTTTAGGGTTATTTCAACAGATCTCAATGAATGAAGCTCAGCACAACTTCCAAAAGAAAAAACTAAATATTAATGAAAATATGACATGATGAACTCTACATGGATTATACTATGAAGGTACCATACTGGGCATTATGCCATCCTTTTTATATTTACTCTTCATTGTAGAAATGGCATTTTTAATTTGAGAATCACTAGGGAAATTATCTTTTCATGTATCGTGCATGTGCTTCAACCTTGAGCTTTACTGTGCCACTAGTTTAAATTTCTTATATATGATTCCAGCAACCTAGACCTCAAAAAACAGTGCCAAATGTCTTCATTTGGTCTAATAAAAAACTTTCCAGAATGACTCATTTTTTTGGATCCACATCAACATGCCAGGTTAGCTAGTGTGGCAAGTGTTAAAGTTTGTTGGATATACAAGACTGTTTGGTGTAAGTTTTTTTTTAGTTGATTTAATATTTAATGATTATTTAGTTTTCATAAAAAGAGTGTTAAAAATTAATTATTTTAAAAGCAATAGTTATGACAAGTTTCATTACGTAACTCGGTATGAGTCATACAATGTGTATGCAATTTCATTGTTGTACTAGGCTTTAGTAATATTGTTGATGTCATCTTACTCGAAGTTTCCAAGTTTTACTAATGTGTAATATTGTTGCTACTAGAGGGTTAGAGATTTCTAGATTATTCTGTCATGTGTGATAAATACCTGCAGATAGAAGAAAGCAAGTTAAATGAGAGATAATTAGACAGATCTAGACAGTGATTTGCAGTTTAGCTGTGACAGGCGATTCACAAAGAAATTAGTAAAGAATTTAAGTAAGGAAAAAGTTAAGTAGTGAAAGTGAAGTTAGACTGCGTGATTGTTAGTTTACCTGTAATGGGCAATACTTTAAAGTGAGTTTCACATTTTATCAGAAATAAAGGAGAATAATTTGTCTTATCAAAGGGTGTTGTGAAGTAATTGAATCTGCTTGTGTGGACTTCAATAAAAAGTAGACAATTATGTAAAATTCTGGAAAGAACTGTGGTAACCCATGGGGTAACGTAAGTGAAGTTATCACAGACTAGAGAAAAATAATTTGTCTTGTAAATTGGGTTATAAAGTAATTGAAACAGCCTGTGTGGATCTTTGACAAGAAAAGATAATTATTTAGAGTTTTAGATACAACTGTTATATCCTATGATGTAAAGAATTTCTGTAAATATGTTTAACTTGTTTTGAACATATTATTTTAAAACAAGTGGAGTGTGAGCTGTCTATTTACTATTCAAATTTATCTCCAACAAGTCACAGGCACCTACTGTAAATGAATCCCAGCCCACTTATAACAAAACTCTGACAAAGTTACAAATTAATTTATTTATTTTACAATTGGTCTTTTCAATCTCAATATGGAAAAAACAGTCAACATTATTTTAAGAGAAAAATTATACATAATTGTTAACACTGCTACCATTACTACAAGAAACAAACAAAATAGCTTTTACAACAAAAATGTTTACCCTTACAAATTAAGTAGTAAAAAGAGTACTTCAAAGTACTTCCTAGTTATTTACTTCAATACCAAAATATTAAAAACTAAAGTAGATGACAGTTGTTGAATTTCATATAGGTACAAGGTTTTTCCTAAGTAGTTTTTAAAATACAACAAAGAAATTAAACTAACAAACATCTATAAATTATTTTATAAAGAAAGACCCACAAAAAAGTATTTTCTTACTTAAGTTGCAGAAAAAAAGAGAATAGATTGTTTGACTTTTTACTTATTTTGAAAGAATAAAAAAATATTTTGTACATTAATAATTTTATTGGAGTAAAAGAAATATATAATCCTTATCATTTTCTGGTTATTTTATATTACTGTCAAAATCAGGATAACATTGAATATTTTTTACCTGGCTAAAGATAAAGGCAGTTCTTCCATGAATCAATCCATGACCTGTTACAACACTATCTCCAGGGTACTAAGAAATCAATAACATGATGTTTTAGTAAACAGTTTATCTAAAATAATTTGGTATAGTATAAAGCATATCTTTGCATGTCTAACAAGATTCATACTTCATAACATTCTAAAACACCAATTCACATATTTTTATCTACATTTATAAAAATATGCTATAGATGGATGAGTAGAAAATAAAAATTATAGAATAATAAAACCACAAAAAAACAGTTCTCAGATGATTGAAGCTATAGATTACACATTGTATAAATATATCATTTATATTTATAATGTATTGTTTATTACTATCAAATTTTTTTCAGATATTATTCTCAGCTTTTTTCACAGAATAAAATAACCAGATTTGTATATCAAGATCTTAATGATAATCAGTGGATGCATCAAATACTTGATTAGTATTCGGTTGTATTATAAACATCAAATATGATTAAGAGTGTAATGTGTGTGGGAGGGGGGAGCTTTTTAAACTTCATTGAACTATGCAAAAATGAAATAAAGATTAGAAAAGTACAGACAATGTCACCATATGTGTAAGGAAGGGGTGGGTGTAGATAGTACTATGCTTTGCAAAGTATTAGGAGAATGGATATGTCATCCCTCGCAGCAGTGTTTATGTGTATGAATTTCTTCATTTCTTTATAGATACTTAGAATACCGGAATTGTCACCCTACTGAGATTTAATACTTATCTTCAATACCTAGGTTTTCAAAGCATTTTTAGATCTGGAGTCTCTTATTTAATAAAGTTGACTGGTTTTTCATTTTTGAACAGATCATTGGTTCAAGATGTCTTTTATACTAGAGGTGTTTGGTAGGTATCATATGTTGCAGAATAGGTTAGCCTTGCAGTCATTGAGATGCCACAGATGGCCATTAGCTCATAACTATGTACCTAACCTCTTACAAGTTGTCTAGGCATGTCACTTAACTGTTTTAATTACTATGAAATACACAGCACTGCCTTTACATTATACAAACTATGTGCATTCAGATACAAAATACCACAAACAAAAAAATGTTCTGTATATAAAAAATGAGTTCTCTCTCTAGATAAATATTATTTGATTGTCCAATAATCATAATAATTATTATCATAAATCAATCAACTTTATCATCTAGAATTGGCTAATTTGTAGATTTTCCAATAAATTTCTTAAAAATTTATCAATAAATTTTTCACCAAATAAATCCCTCTTGAAAAGAAAGAAAATGGCACTTGGTAACTGGAGAGGATACTCACATTTTCAGAGAAGCTAAAAGAAAATGGCACTTTGTAACTGGAAGATACATTTACAGACAAACTTAGGCACAAATTGAGATTTACTATAACTTGGAAGAATCATACTGTAAAATACATGAAAAGGTTATGCTACATGAATGTTTTTTTTATTTGGTTGTCTGTACACTGTTATCAAAATATTGATAAATTAGGGTTAAGACTACTGCTGGCTTACTGCAACTTTCTCCTATTCTAGCCAATAGATTATACGATGCGTGAATATCCTTGATACTGCTTATTAACACATCATACCATTCACTCAGTAAAAAGAAGCTTTACATTTTTACGCACTTGACTTCAAAATAGCATTTGATTGTACACTCCATATCAATGGCTGGTAAAACTGTAAACTGGAATTTTAAAAAAACTTTAGAATACTGAGCATGTGCAAGGCATTATATTAACATACAGATATTGTCCACTGTCTAACACCTACATCATTGTACAGTATATTTAAAACAAATTGGGAGGAAAGGTTTTCTTCTGCACAGAGGTTTAATTTAATAGAGAAATGAAAAGTTTCAAACATTTCATAATTTGTCTCAAAAGGTTTTGGAGGAATTTGTAACACAGTGGAAGGAAGCAATGGGGAGGGATGGGGGGCAGACTATGTAGTTCAGCATTATTGACAATATTCTTGGTCATTTCTAATACAAGATGTGAGATGTACTTTAACACTTTTGCAACAGGCTCATTATAAAATAAAAGTTCATATATACATTTGCACATGTTAAGTATTTGTACTACAACTTTTAATGCTGTATCTGTATCTTCACAAAATTTGGTAGACTTTTAGTAATGATTCCAAGTCTTTTGTACACAAGAAAATCTGAATTCTAATGAAGTATTTTTACTGAAGATTTGTTTGTGAACATATAAAGTCTGTTTCACTACTAGTTCAACTGCAAAGTGATTTTCATGTCATGATTAAAAACTATTCTTCATCACAAAAATCTCAAATGTTAATTATGTAATTTCAAATACCTCCTAAATACATTTGAAACATTTGTTTTCAATAAAACTTTACACTTTGTCTGTTATTTTCTCTACCTTAAATATACGAGGTCTGTCAATTTGACAGACTCCGTAACCACCATACAAAATTAGACAATAAATATAAATTATGCTTTTTTGTTGTAGAATGACTACAAATTATAACATGAAAACTCAAATGTTTATTTAGCCTTAAATCTCATAACATTATACATTTATATATTTATTATTTTTATTATATTGACTTTCCAGTTGTGCCTGGCTAACAATACAGAAGTTACAATGATACAGTGCACATGCACTCACGTTACAGTATTGAATAATATAAAACTGACTTTGTCTTTACAAAATGACCTATCTTGCCTGTTTCAGTCACATTTTAATTATTATACACTATATATGTATATAGATTATTACTATTTACAAACAAGTTCTTAAGCTTATTTTTCTTAAAATATAGAACAGTAACTGAAAAAGTAAAGCAAAGTATTATCTCTTCTTGTTACAACCTTTGTTCTCAGTTGCAGCTTCTCATAGCTTGTTAAGCCTTATGAAATTTCACACATGGAGAATATGAAATAAGATCATTTTTTTAGGTTTTATATATATTGGAATAACCAAAATATCATAAGTTACTATATGATACCATAGAATTCCATTATAATTTATCAAGTTTAGTAATTAACCTGTATTTCGGTCTAAAAAAATATGAAATTTTGAACGGACTAAAGACACAACCTACCTCCTTGTAATTTTGTTTCGAAAGAACAAGATGGCATCCTAACACATGAAAATGGCTAGAAAGCCACTAGGGTGACATTCTGAGCTTTTGAATGGTTATCGTGTTTGATTCAGTACATGAGCAATATCTCAGCAAATAGAAAAAACAGGAGGTTCTTATTTTATATTCTAGCTTGTCAATATCAGTAATCTGAGTTCCTAATTCATACAAAACTACAGACTTAGTATTTTGACTTCACAAACATCTAAGTTGAACCAGTGCTGCATTCAACATAGTACATGACACACAAAAATCAATGTTTAAGTGTTTTTGAATATTTACTTTTAAATTAAGAAATTGAATAATGTATAATACTAAAATTTGAATTATAATCTATAGTTTGATATCAAACTTATTGACATAAATTCATAAAATAGTAGTTCAATAAAATTTTGAATGCAAGTCAAATACGATGACCTTTGACCCGTAGCGATAGGGTTAACCATGTAAATAAGAATCCCATTTCTGCCCAATCACAAAAGTAGAAGGAAAAGTACGAGTCAATGTGATGTCACCTATTATTCAGGTGGAAATAAATGCATGGAAAAGCAACTAGAATGAACAAGTGTTATCTAATAATTCTTTAATATTTACTAGATGTCTCTATTAGTATAAATTACAGAAAACCAAAGTGATAATTATACTTTTTCCCACCATGAAACCTCTTTACAGGCAAGATGTCCCAGAAAAACATACTCTGTACCTATTGGATCCTTATCATAAATGCAATAAATGTTACATTTTCTTAATAAAATCCCAGTCTGCAATAACCATATTCATTATAACACAAGGTCAGTAGTAGCAAAACATTTACTTCCAAATTTTCCAATTATTGGAACAAAGTAGTAAAGTTTTGCAAATATATCAAGACTTAAAACACAATATGTTGTACTGTATTTGATTAAGCTGAATTTCTTGTTTCATCAAAAATGTTTTTCTTTATGCGACTATAGGTTACAACATTGATAATTAGACAAATGAGTTTAGCTGACATTTTAACAGATATTAATGTTCAAATGTATTAAAAATATTACCTTGACTCAATGTTTTCACAGGTAATTTAAAACAAAAGAAACATTAGTAGTATGTGTAATTCAAATTATCAACTACAATAAACACATAGGAATTTTATATACTTTACACGTTAAAGTTGGAGAATTTTCCAAGGAATTTGAAAACAAGTTCAGACAGGTCTTGAATGTGCAACACTTAGCCAATTAAGTTTTTAGCTCTCAATGACTATGATCCTATGTTAACTGCATGTAAAGCTAAGTGATTTTTATTACAGAAACTTCTAATGTGGTATTCTGTCCAACAACAATGTTGAACTTTTTTTTAGGAAGTGGACTGGTCAAGAAATGAAGGCACAACAATTGTAACCAGGCCGGTGTTTAAGCCAAATGGCATAATTGGCCAAAGCATTTGCCAAGTTATCAGTGTTGCTTATTTGAGTCACCACAGTCTCAATTTTAACTTCAGAGAACTACAAAATTATAACTATTTTTCACATTTAAAGCAATCACAAAATTATGTCATGAAAGATAAGAAAAAAAATATTCAGTTATGAAATATTGTAGTATATTTGGCAAAAA